TTTTACTATGTTCCCAAAATATTCAGAAATGGTACCCAATGACCCAAAACCAAGAGGCAGATGGTAGAAAAGAACAAGATGTCCAGATACTGCTATTATCAATAGCAGCAAACTTGATAATTAACCGTAATTCATAAGTTTAAAAAAAGTAGATCAAATAAGAATTTTGGAAGATAACTGAAATCTCTGTATAACAAAGAATCAAGCTGAAATTTGAAAATTAAAAAAAAATAAATCCCTGAAATAAAAAACAAAAACTCAATTCTATGATTTGAACTGGACTATAGTTTAGTGTAAAATTTCAAACTGAAGCAGAAAGAAAAAAAGGGGGAAGAGTTAATATAGAAAGTATCTGTGTAGCTGGAATTCCAGAAGAAAGAGAGAGTGAAAATGGAAAATAGACATTATTTTAGACAGTCTCACCAAGATCTTTCTAAAACTGACAACAGACATCAAGACAGAAATTTTAGAAGTTCTATGAAAGTTAGATTAATACAAAAACAACTTCATCTGAGCACGTTAAAATAAATCTGATGAAAAATGAGGCAAAGAAATATCTTAAAACAGTGGGACCAGCAGTTGGTGTAATGGCTATGTTGCTGGACTCCCATGTAGTCAACCACGGTTCAAATCCTAGACCTGGTGGCTTAAAACTTACACTGGGCACATGTGCATAGGTGCCCAAGATCTCGAGAGGAGAATGGAGGAGAAGGGACTGCTGCATGGCCATCCCCCCTGGGGTGTGATTTCTCGCTTTCTGTCTCTCTGTCTCCCTCTGTCTTACTGGCAAGTGCATGTGCCCTATAGCAAAACAAAACAAACAAACAAAAAAAACACAGCATAAACAAAAATGTAATTTTCAAAAGAACAATGACAAGGTGACAGAGGCCTCTCAATGTAAACAAAGGAAGAGAATGACATTTTGCAGGTTGAGAAAAAGAAACAAGCTAAAAAGTAAGAGGAATAAATCAATTGATTAATCAAAAAGAAAAAACAAACTAATTTATCAGTAATTATAAAACAGCAGTAAAATTGGATAAAAGTAAAACAACTGTATTATGCTGACAACAGAGAAACATGAGGTAGTCATCCTGAAACTGTTGCAAGTGAAAGTCCAGAAAAAGACTCTCCTTATCAAGATTAAACAAAACAAAACAAATGGTATAGATATAAATAAAAGAAGATAGCAATAAAAGAAGAACATGGGAAATCAAATAGGAAGATATGACAATCCTAAATTTTAAGCTTTTAATATATTAATATACTTTCAAAATGTACAATACGGGAACCAGCAGTTAGCGTACTGGCTATGTCGCTGGACTCCCACGTAGTCGACCGCGGTTCGTGTCCCGGACCCGGTGGCTTAAAACTCACGATGGGCGCGTGTGCGTGCGTGCCCAAGATCCCGAGAGGAGAATGGAGGAGAAGGGATTGCGGCGTGACCATCCCCCCTGGGGGGTGATTTCTCGCTTTCTGTCTCTATGTCTCTCTCTGTCTGGCAAGCGCACGCGCCCTATAGCGAAAAACCTCTCCAAAAAACAAAACAAAACAAAACAAAACAAAACAAAAATGTACAACACAAAGTTTGATCAACCACAAGACAAAAGAGAAACATTCACCATCATAAATGTGGATTCTAACATCTTTCACTAAAACTGATACAGGACTTAAACAGAGTAACCAGTGGAAATGTAAAAGATTTTAACAACTTGATGACAAACTTGAAATATTAAAAACTCCACAGTGAATACCTGTGGGATATGATTGATTTTTAAGGGCCTGTGGTACCTCTACCAAAATAGACTGTATTTTAAAAAATAGTGTTCATTTCAATAGATATTAAAAGTTAAAATTATGAGAAATGTTTAACCAAAGTCTAAATATAGAACCATTTTAAGGTGGTTAAGGCACTGTACTTCCACATGGCTGACCACAGTTTGAGTCCCAGACCTGGTGGCTCAGAGGGCATGCGTCAGTGCATGCCCAACATTCTGAGAGGGGAGTGATGAGAGAGGACTGTGGTGTGGCCAATTCCCCTTAGGGGTGATTTCTCACTTTCCCTCTATCTCTCTCCAAGGGAGCACATGTGCCCTATGGCAGAAATCAAATAAACAAACGAACAAAAAAGTGGAAAAGATCTGATTGTTTTGAAGTTACATGAAAAGTAAACCCTATTTGAAATGAGGAAGTATTTCGAACCGAATGACAATGAAAATAGTGCAAACATGTTCTCAGATGAAAATCTGTAGCCTTTTATATACACATAAGAAAAAATAGAAAGATGTATATCAGTTATTTAACCCGCCATCTCCTGAATTTATAAATAAGAGCAAATTGTACTCTCTGATTTATATTTTAAACAATTACTGGCAAGGCTGGCAGATGGCATACTGGTTACGTCACTGGACTCCCACATGGCTGACCACAGTTTGAGTCCCAGATCTGGTAGCTTGAAACTCATGCCAGGCACATGTGAGTGGATGCCCCAAGTCCAGGAAGAGAATGGAGAAGCGATTGCAGCATAGCCCTCTCTCTGTGGGGTCATTTCTCACTTTCCCTCACACTGTCTTTGTGTGGCCCTCTCTCCGTTGAACGCACATGTCCTAAGGCAAAAACCTCTTAAAAAATGAAAAACATTGGTGACGGAACTGCTCTATACAATGACTGCAGTGGGGACTTCATGAGCATACTGATGTGATGTAATTGTACAGAACTAAATACGTGCACTCGCACACGTAAACACAAAACACAAATAAAACGGGGAATTTTTAAAAGGTAGGTAGATTGTATCAAAGCTTATGTCCTGCTTGTGATAGTATATTGTATTTTTGCATGCTACCACTGAGGGGAAACTGGGTAAATCATATGTGTAATCTCTGTGTCATTTCTTATTACTACAGGCATTTCTACAATAATCAAAAAATTCAAGAATACACAAAATTCAAGAATATAAAAATATCAATTATCCCCTACTTGTATATATGCACAATGTGAGTTTCATATAGAAATTAAAGTAAATTGGGACCAGCAGGTGGCGTAGTGGTTAAGGCATTGGGCTCCCAAGTGACCTGCCATGGTTCAAGTCCTGGACCCAGAGACTTGAAACTCAAACAGGATAAGTGTGCATGTGTGCCCGGAGACCAGAACCCAGGCAGAGAGTGGAGAGGGGGATTGTGGCATGGTCATCCCCACTGTGGGGGAGGGGGTTGATTTCTCACTTTCTGCCTGTCTGTCTGTGGCTCTCAAGTGAGCACACAAGTCTTATAGCAAAAAATCTCCAAAAAAAGAAAAAGAAATAGAAACGTAAAAGAAAAGAAGGCCAGCAGATGTTGGTGGACTTTCATATGGCCAGCTACAGTTCAAGTCCTAGACCTGGTGGTTGAAAATCATGCCAGGTGCATATGTGTGCATTCCCAAAATCCTGGGTGGAAAATGGACAAGGGATTGCAGCCTGGTCATCCCCCTGGTGGGTGATTCCTCACTTTCCTTCTCTCTCTCTCTCTCTCTCTCTCTCTCTCACTTGCATGCACCCTAAGGAAAAAAAATCTCTTAAAAAATTAAAGTAAATGAAATAAAACCACAAACAGTAACATAGATAAATTTTATCAACATATTTTTGAACAAAACATTCTACATAGTATGATTTCATCCATAGAAATGTTTAAAAAAAAAAAAAAACAGTGAGTCAAACTAATTTATCCTATAGCCTGGTGGAGAGGAGGATAGTGATAGGGAGAGGGTGTAAAGAGGATTCTAGGTGCTGGCAATTCTCCATTTGTCAATCTGTGTGGGGTTCCCTTTGTAAAACTCCAGCTAGACAATTACCACCGGTGCACTTTTTGGTTTGTCACACTTTTATAAAATATATGCATAGAGGAGGAAAGATAGCTCTTCAAATGAAAAAAAGCAAACCACACAACTAAAGGAAAAGAAACCATCTTGCAAAGACAAATCTTTAGAAAGAAATACATATTTAGTTACTGTACATCACTCACTTTGGTTTTTCAATTTGTATGTAACGCATGAGTTACTTCACATATAATGATGGTTGTTCATCATCCTTTGAAGACTCAGGTGTTCTGTGCCGCCTAAGGTGAGAACGCCGGGCTGATAGACAGATGATATGATTGATGGGTCAAATCATGTGTTCATATTCCCAAAACTACTTCGCTGAAAGCAAAGCTTCCTATTTGATTAGGGACATTTGTTATGGTTGAATTGATTTTTTTTCTTATACTTTTTCTATTTGAACATGCTTTTCTCTCAGCATGTTGAGTTCAGTGAATGGATTTAGTGTTTCCTTTCACAAGCCGACAGCAGCACGATGTGACCGTTTTGTTAATACACAATGAATGCTTCATTGAAACTTCCATTTGGTGTGACCTAGACATTAATATGCAGGAGGAAAGTTCAGTAAATGTTGCCAAATCTATTTCAGCTGTGCATGCTATTCTTTTCAATCTTCTCTTAATGCATGATTACCTGTAATACATTTTTAAAAGAGATTTTGGGATAAAAGTACATGATAATTCCAGACTAGAGACCATCTTAGCATTTGTGAATGAAATAGTATAATTTCTCATCATAGAGATGCTTTCATTCCCTTTCTGAGTATGATGTTATTTACAACAGAACAATGGAGAATATCACCCAGTCACACAGGATGACCGACTATTTCATATTTTTCAGAGCTGACCTAATTTTATCACTCTAAAACTTGCACCTGGGGGAGCCTCTCAGTTCCAGGCAAATGGAATGGTTGGTTGTCTTAAGCTGATAAAAGACACACTTTACAGTGATACAATCATGACTGCAAATTGCCAGTCATGTTACTTTTTAAATGTTAATACAAGTTGCCAGTGTGCTGGATTCTTGGAAGTAGAGTCTTACTGTATTTACAGTTTGGTTGTTTAAGCAACGAGAACTTCCTATAAGGTAAAAGTCAGTGTATTGATATTCGGTGCCTTGATTACAGGTTTTAACATTTCTGTTTCTCGCAGACTCACGGGATCCAGTGTTCCTGACCTCATTGTGAGCATGAGCAACCAGATGTGGTTACACCTACAGTCTGATGACAGCATTGGCTCTCCGGGATTTAAAGCTGTTTACCAAGGTAGGACAAAAACACACGTCACAGTCTTCTAAATGCCTTCCGGTGGAGGACCGAGACTATTCTACATGTGTTAGGTACAAGTGAAATCGACAAGTAGGAATAATATTTATTAATAGGGACTAATTATTTCCAACTTGCTTAAAGTCCTGCTTCTAGCTCTTCTTGTAAATGAGAATTTTTAATTTTTGGAAGCTTACTGTGATAGGGGTTATCATTAAGTCAAAATGAAGAGTAAGACTAAGTATTCAATGTGAACTAAGAAACATGCATATTATAGATCTGTAGACCATATTTTATTGATTGGTATTTTTAGAAACCCTTTTTTAAAAATTATGGAAGATTTAAAAATGTAAATCAGAGTAGAAAGAATATAATAAAGTTGAAATGACTTACATAAACTTTTTTGAGCTGAATCCAAGCATTCAGAATGAAAGACCTAGACCTTTCATTGTCTTTGAGCCATTTGACAACTCAGCAAGTTGTAGAAAACTGATAGCAATGCAAAGATGTCTGACCATTGAAATGCGAATGGATTTTGTGAAGGAGATGAAATTGGTTTTTACCTTATGGGTATTGATGAGTTTGTATTATTAGCAATTTCATTGAAGTATTTGTGGTTGTTCGTATGCGTGTATCCTTTAGAATTGTCTTTGACACAAGTTTTTAAACATCTTCTGATTCCTTCATGAATTATTACTTTACTTACAATGTTTGACATGACACATATGTACATGTATAGGCAAAAGTGAAACATATTAACCTGGAGGGTGGGGATTTCACTTTGTGAATTTTAGTAAAGAAACAGCATGCCTTTTTAAAATTTATTTATTTATTTATTTATTTATTTATTTATTTATTTGTCCAAGAGTATGATACTGCTTGCTGGAGAAAGGCAGAGAGAGGGGAGGAGGGAAAATGAGAAAGCACCACAATGAGGCATGATCTTACCCTACTTCTTTCTCCTCTATTCTTACTCCTTATGGGATTTGGGGCATGTACCCCCACACACACCTGGAATGATTTTATAGCTACTGGGTCCAGGACTCAAACCACATGGTGGGCCATGCAGGATCCAGCTACCTTAACCATGGGCTGCCCTAAAATTGTATGTTCTTATTTTTCAAGTGTACTGCATAGTTCATAAAGTTTTGATGCATTTTTCTGTTTTTCTAGGCAAAAATGTGTCATGAGTTTTCTGGTGACCCAATATATTCTAGAAGTAGTTTCAGGAGTTGGAAAAAACTGCACATGAAGTCAGTGAGGTAGATCATAGAAAAGCAGCCACCAATTGTTAAATAATAAATATGGGCTCATGACACTGTCAAGAGTTTGTGTGTGTGTGTGTGTGTGTGTGTGTGTGTGTGTGTCTGTGTGTCTGTGTATCTGTCTGTGTGCACACATCATGGCATGGCTATACTCATTGTGTGCAGTGAAGTCGCCACAATGTTAGAAAGTCCTATGGCAAGGAGAGAGCTCAACCATGAATACCTTTATCTATAAAATGTGAAATAGATTCCCCCTTTGCAATAAACGTGGGGTGAAGTAGAGACTTTGTGACTTTTTAAAACAAGGAATCTACAACACAAACTAAAAACAAAAGTCTATTTACATTCTATTAAAAGGTTAGGACCAGAATGCAGAGATAATTGCTGAATACTCTCTGACATTTGGATTCTTAGAGCTGACCTTTAATTGAACTTCTACATGACTGTACAGTTATTCAAGAAAGCATGATAGAGGTATAATATTTTCCACATGACCTACACTTGCCTCTGCCTTTGGTAGAATCTAAAATCATTAGTGAAATACCACACACTTTCCAACAGGGCAAATTGTAGTAAATTCATTCTGGCAGTATTAAGACACACATCATAAGGTTTATGGTATGAAGAGTACAGGCGAACATCATTCCCAAATTGTGGATCCTTGACTATTAAGGGATGTAAGTATTCTCAATTAAAATGTAAATATTCTTCTATGTGTCATATTTCAGTTTGATGGCCATACCACATTAATTATAATTACATTTAACTCTAATTAGTACTCTGTTAACAGTCTCAATAAACTATCAATAGCTACAACTTGAGATGCCATGAAAACGTGGATGGCCATTAATCCTTGAGAGAGTGCCAATTCAATTCCATGAATTATCTTTTGATAAAACAGTATTCCAAAGTTAAAAAGATAATTAAAACAAGAGAGCTAATGTAACACTTGAGGATTTAAAAAGTTGAGAGAATATATTTAAAAAACATTCTGAATATTAGTATTTTCAGAGTACTATATTAAGCTAACAATTGGAGATAATGAGTCAGTCACTTGACTGTGATGAGAAGATGCATAAATAACTGCTTATTTGATTTTAAAAAGGTTGTTCGAAGGGCCAACAGGTGGCATGGTGGTGGAGGTGTTAGACACACATGTGGTTGACGGCAGTTGAGTCCCGGACCTAGTGGATTGCTACTCACACCAGGCGCATGTATGTGGGTGTGCCGAAAATCCCAAAAGGAAAATGGAGGAGAAAGGACTGCAGTGTGACACTCCTCTGGGGTGTGTTTTCTCACTTCCTGTCTGTCTCTCTGGTGAGCACATGTAACCTATAGCAAAAATCTCTATAAAAATTTGTTCATGAATTATTTTATTGGAAAATAATATGCAGCTAATATTTACTAACTTAGTTTAATTTTGGTATTGAATGATTTTTTTGTTTTTGAAAGAGAGATTTTTGCTTTAGGGTACATGCACTCACCAGAGAGACAGACAAAGACAGAGAGACAGAAAGTGAGATTTTACTATTATCTTCCTGGGGGGATGGCTACCACAATCCCTTCTTCTCCAGTCTCCTTCTGGGATTTTGAGTATGTATGCATGCCAATGTGAGTTTCAAGCCTGAAATTTTTACTTTCCTTCTTTCTCTCTCTCCCTCTCTTTTTCTCTCTCTCTCTCTTTTACCAGCAAGCACGTGCGTCATCCGACAAAATAATAAAATAAAATAAAGATAATAATCAAATTTGATTTTATTTCACAGTCCATCCCAAGTGGAAGTAAATTTAATCTCACTTTTGTTCATTATTGAAGGTCTCCCTTGTAATCCCTTACTCATCTACCCATTCCTGTCTCAGGAAGATGATGAAAGTCTTTTGAGTTGTGTAAGGGGGTACAAAGCATGTTGTGGGCCCTCAAATCTTTGGACCCCCTTTGTGACCCTGAGATAGTTATGGTCCCTGTAATCTTGGGCACTATTTTCTCTGACAGACACTACCTATAGGACCATCTCCTGGGATCCCCTTCCCACAAGCACATACAGAAATCCTGAAGTGACCTCATAGGAGCATGAGGAGGGGGAGGATGCATCTGAGTTTCTCTATTTTATAGTTTAATATTCCTAGCAGAAGTTACAAAAGTAAGATAAAATATAAATGTATAAATTTGTTTTTTAATATCAGAATTTTGTTAAATATTGTAAGGCTATAATATGTTGGAGGTTACACAAATTTAAATAAAATATGTACTGTAAGGGCCAACAGATGGCATGGTGATTATGTCACTGGACTCCCCTGTGGCCGACCGCAGTTCAGATGCAGTGGCTTGAAAATCTTGCTGGGTGTATGTGTATACATGCCTCAAATCCCCGGAGGAACATGAAAAAAAGGGATAGTGGCATGGTCATATTTCTAAAATAATATATGTAAAATAATAAATATATATAATATAATATATATAATACACATATTAAATATAAATCAATACATATGTGTACATGCATACACACACATACACACACATACACACACTGTATTGCAACAGCTTGTTGTTAGTTATCAGAAAAGAAAGAAAAAAAAGTGATTCCCATTCCCAGTTCAAAGTAGATCTATTTAATGACCATGGTGACTTCCAGCTGGGAAGAAGACTGGCAGAAAGCAAGCATAATGCCTGGATGCTTGTCCAAATCCCTACAAGTTTGCAATTTGGGCAAGTCCACCTTTCTGTGGCTTCTCCTCTGTACTAAGTGGGATAACTCTGAAGCACTTTTGTCCCAAAAGTAACATTCAGTCACAGTTCATCAATTTCTACAATCATATTTTATGTAATTTGCTATCACTATTTAAATTTTAGCAGGGGGTAAATTAAGGGACATGTTCCCTGTGATGTCTGCTGTGTAGTAAAAACAAGACTTATTTTAGACTCACACTTAGAACAGTTTTAGTAAAATCTGAGTTCAGTGCACTGTTTCCTACCAGAAGCAGAATTGCCTTCTGTGTCCAGTGAGCACACTGAGTAAACTTACTTTGGGCATCTTAGTCTGTAACCACGGGCCTCCGCTTTTATGCCGAGTGGGAAAGTGATGCTCTTCTCTGCGTGGAATAGAGGGGAGTACAGGCAGTGCAGATAGCAGTGTCCTCACCGTTTTGGTGGACAAACACGCTACAACGCATCGGCCACCTAACAGTCTTTCTCACCTGGAGCGCACATCAACCAATTTGCCCATTTTTATCTAGACCTCAGCAGTTACCAGCTGCTGGGTCATTTTCTGATATCTTTGAAGAGTTAGGTGGTAGCTTCATAAATTCTGTTTTCATCTTACATTTTTCTGATCCATGTTCATGATGGATAATCCTATTTTTTTTTAAAGTTTATTTCTTTCTTCCATGTGAGAAAGAGACAGAGGCATGGGGGCAGGTGTGAGAGAGAGAGAAAGAGAGCAATAAATAGCCCCATCAGTGGATTCTGAGGCTATCTCTCCAGCTCTCCGCCGTCTCTAGGTTACAGACACACAAATACCTGATGTACTGAAGGAGGTCTCCAGACTTGAACTGGAACCTGCTCCTGGGTGGCAACTTCACAGAGTATCACATTTTACCAGTGTAAAACTACCTGGCTCCCCTATTGTTATTTATTTATTTTTTCTTTTAGGTTTTTACCATATAGTGCCTGCACTCACAAGAGAGAAAAAGACAGAAAGAGGGAAACTGAATCACTCCCTGGTGGGGGGGGGGGAG